TATCCTTCCTATCAGGCTTAGTATTTTCTGTGCCAGTTCTTTCTGGACTCTGGTATAGAAATTGCATTATTTCTGGCTTGAGTGCTCTGAAGTCCTTCAGTTTTGTTTCTGCTTTTGCACCTGACGGCATCTATCTTCGTAGCCTTGTCTTGTTGACCACAGGGACAAAAGCAGAATGTATAACATTGCAGTGGAGCCAAACCAGGTTTGTTTTTAACTACATCCACTCTCAGGCTGTCACTCTCCTTTTCTGTTTTCCATGATCGCAGAGACAGTCTCTGTGAAGCACCTTTGCTTTGCAAGTTGGCCTGACCTCTTAGAAAGCTCATTTTGTCCCTAAGTCTAAAGTTCTTTCAATTCCTGCTTTAACATCATGTAAGTCCCATTTCCACTTTGTTCTAGAGATGGAAAAGGGGCGAGATAAATTAGTTTCTCTGTCATTTTTGCTCTTATGATCTTTGATGGAGTTGCCAGCGAGTTTTTAAGGTAGAATCTGTGCTTCCCAGCCACATTGCCATTAAGAAGGTCATAGAGTTCATCAGCCCCTCTACTGTCTTATTTTTGGAGCAAAATGAAAAGTTAGAAGGATGTAAAGTCTATTCCACTTTCCTTTGCATATTTTCAATATGTTAATAATTGCCCCTAATGTTCTCAAAGTTAGAATTATTATTTCTAATGGTTCTTGATTTGAAGCATTATCGTATAGCAGTCAGCTTGTCATGGCTTTGACAAACACTTTATCATTCTATTTAAGGAACCGGTTTTAATCTTCAAAGAAAAGGGCTTAGTTAATTTAGAAGTCAAGCAGAGAGATGGCAGTCATATGAGCTTTTAGCACAATATATATTCATAAAATATCCCCCATAAAGTAGTAAGCCTTAGGGACAGATGCAGTAATATAACATTCCCTCTTTTTTAACTCCTGCACATGTCTACTCCCACTGAGGATGGTCATTAAAAGTAAGTGCCATAAAAAATACAGTTTTTAAGAATCTCATGTAGAAAGGAAGAGCAGGACTGTTCTTTGGTAGGTACGAGTGCCTTTGAAGGAGCTGATTCAGCTAAGTTTGGGTTAATATTCCTGAAGTCAGAGAGAGAACTTAGTCTCAGAGCAATTATTAAATGCTATTACCTTTACATTTGCAATCTGATGGCAGAAGAATCCAGCCTCCTGGGGGAAGGAGAAAAACTCCAGTATCAGGGATATTTAAAATGAGACCGAATAAAAATTGCATGAGGTCCTATATGCAGCAGTCCATTAGTACTGCGCTACAATAAGACCTATCTCATGCCTTATGTTCCCTTCCAGAGAAAAGGAATTTTGGCCTTTGCAAGGGCTACTTCATCATCATGATTATGGAGCTATTCTTGAACTCCTGTGAACTCCTATCTGTCTGATTCTTGGAGCCATCACCACTTTTGCCATTTTCATCCCTGCTGACGATTCCCAGCCTTTTGTTCATAGCAGCCTAGAAAGCCATCGGCACTGCTTCAGTCTGCTGGGCACAAATCCATGAGCAGTCAAGAGGGGATTTGTATACTTAACTCCAGGAATTGGCTGCTTCTCTTCCTACCCCCTTAGTCCCCCTTTCCTAAACGATAGGCACCTCACTTTTATCAGCTATTTTTTCTGGGCGTTCAGATTTCTGTACATGTGTGTGCAGAAATGCCAATCTTTACATATCTTTGTGGCGCTCAAAACCTGCTCTATACCCGAAGAGGCTGGGTACAGCCCCAGCCCAGCTACCCAGCCTCCAGCAGCAAGCACACACAGGTGGGATCAGGGATGCTGGACAGTGGCTTTATAGACAGCAGCCCCCATTATTTCACTTTCCTGCTTGAGCCTGGAAATTTGTCTACTAGATCGTGAGTGTGTTAGTCCTTTAGGAATGAAGGCAAAGCCGCATAGACCATATTTCTGCAGGATTGATTGTGCGTAGTGTTTATCCTGTGTGTAACACAGACCCTTACAATTCATGCGAGCAGCCTTATGCTGAGCCAAAGGGCTTTAATTGGAGCAAAGCATCTGATTCCTAAAGAAACTAAACTATTTGCCAGCTGCAGAGAAGAAAAAAGACCAATGTGTCATTAGTGCCCAAGCCTTGTGCAAGGGGAAGGAAATAATTTAAGTGCAGATTTTTCAATGGACTGAGCACGCCCATGAAGTAGGGGGAGGTGAAGACACATTAACCAAAACCCAGGGGGAAATTTCCCTCCCAACCCAAAATAGGGTGAGCAGCGTGACCCTGTGCGTGCAATCATCTTCTCCACTTAAAAGGTTTCATGGTATGTGATTGCAACATGGACGCTTTAGTGGATAGGGAAGAAAATCTCTGGTCACAGCCAGATCCTAGAGGTATATTTGCTCTGTATCCTGGTAAAGTCTTTCAGTGCAAATAAGAAAAATCTGTAACAAATGACGAGTTTTCAAGAAGCTGTGTTTGAGGGGTTTTTTCCTAAAATAGTCCTGCAGACCTTTCTCCCTAACAATTCCATTTTTGGCAATTCTGCTTGAAGAATCTTTCATATGAAATGGGAACGTTTGAAGTGAATCATTTAATTTGCTTAACTTAAAGAGGTTCCTACATTTAATTTTAAGCTGATTCCCTCTAATTAAAGTTCAAGTCACTCTTAAATATTTAGCATCATTAAGTGAAGATCCAGGAAAGAAAATGTAATAATCTTTTCCGTTTTTGCTTTACCTGAAATATGCCTTTTTTGAGTTTTTAATTTTGAAACACCAATTTGATTTGAGCTACCAGCATGACTAATTTCCAGGGTTTCAAGCACAATTTAGTATTTTAAATTTAAAAACTAGATCAATTAATTCTGTATTATTTTAGAGACTTTCCTTATAACAGTTTTGCTAGGGGAGAGAAGCAGAGCAGAATCAAATTCCAAGTTGATCAAGTGATCACCCATATATATAAGTGATCAGTTAAATATGCAGCCTATGTATTTTTCCATGCTTGAAATGTTGGGGAATTTTTTGAGGATATGCTTGCTTTGGTAACTTGACCTGGTTGGCCTGTATCCTCAAACTTGTGCACCTAGAAGGCTGGAGTATGAGATCTGTGTTTAGTTTCAGGATTTCAGTGGGATGAATGGTTACACAGCTGTCTGTGAAAATCAGACCATTTTAGGGGACTCTCCCACTGCAGTCAGTCTTCCAGTTCCCATGTGGCTAAGCTTGGAAATGTGAACTTGATCTCTATCTAATAAGCAAGTACTGGCTGTTTTCTCATCGGTTCCCTCCTTATTTTCTGGCTGGTAGCTATTCATGTTCAGCTGATTTTCTTCTTTTTTTTTCAGCCTGACTATGACACCAGACAAATTAGTGAGCATTTCGTCTCCGTGATTAATCAGTGAGCTTTCAGTTTTGGCACTGTGTTGTAGCATTGCTTAGAGGATAAATAAATAAATCAATCAGATATTCCTGACAACTGTAAAATGATTAAGCAAAGGGAAAAAAAAAGCCACATAACAAAAAAAGTTGAATGATCGCTTCATCACTCTTTAATGTGAAATCAAAAAGTACATGTTTTTTTTGGCTTGGATAAATCGACATGTTAACTTTGAATCAACATTACTATTTCCTTCTTCCCACTGGATCTGCTGGTGGTTGCTACATGGGACTGAGAGACTTCCTTTTCTGATGGGTTAAGTTGGAGTTGCAGTTCCTATTTTGAAGTGTGGTTTTAGTCTAAAATGGACTATGTAAAAATGGAAATTGCGCTCTCAGTGAATCACAGTCCTGGCCATTGACCTGAGTGACGAGAGCCACTTTTTCCCTCTTGCAAAGCTGATGCTCTTCAGGGAGACTGTGTTGGCTTTATTTCTGCCTCTTGCTATGTCACCACATTGCTAACTAGTTGCAAGGGCAAAATCTGTTCTCATTTAGTGCCTGGTCAATGTTCTTGTTTCTGATGGTGTTGGACAAGGCGGGTGTGGGAAGACTCTTCCCCAAAGATTTTTACTTTTTTATAGTCAGGACGGATCTGTTTGCTGCCCCCAGCCCGGTAGCGGCTGCAGGTCCAGCAGCTGGAATATCTTCATGTGCTCTGAGCAGTTTTGGCCTGAGGTCTCCGGGAGGAAAACAAAAGGAATTCTTCCTATCTCCCAGCTACATTTTTTTTATGTTTTGGAACACAGGGTACAAACTCTGTGCCTGAGTATTTGACCCTACTTGTCAAATATACAACTCTTCTTGACTTCAGTTAAATTTAAGCCAAGATGTCAAAGGGCATGCAAAATGCAGCCCATGCAAAATGGCCATTTTGATGCAATTTGGTCTATTAGGTATGTTAATGCTAAACATATAAAATTATGCCTCCGTACATATTTTTCTCTGAGGTCTTCTAGCCACTTAAACTATGGATGACCCGTAAATACATACACTTACTCGGTTCAGGTGGCCCTGAAGGAATTGTGAACATTTTGGCTGTTACAAATATCATAAATAATTCCTGAAATCTTATTCAAGAAAACATGTTTTGTGTGTGCATGCAGTGAGTGAAGGAGACCCCTTGAGGTTCCTCCTGAAGAGATGAAAACCAAAATGCATCCAGCTCCCTTAGCCGAGCCCCGACATAGAGACGTGCAACCTTGTTGAATAGTTGACCTGTGTTATCATTCTGAGTTTTGTTTCAAGTAAAATACATCCTCAGTTATAATATCAGCATAATTTGCATTGTATCATTTGTAATGGTGACTGCAAAAAAGAAGACATCTGAAGTAAAGTGTGCCAGCAGTCAGCTGAAGCATTTCCCTTACCTTCACTTCCATAAATTTATGTCTGAAGGTATGTGTTTTTCTAAAACTGCTGGGTCTGTCTGATGACACGGCAGCACAAAACATAGCTGTGGGTGGGTAAGGCTATCCATCCACACCTAACAAATGAGCGCCCTGAAAATTCCTCTGCAAAATGCTGTTCTCAGGATACTTTGTGTTCTCAGGGTCAGCCTGTTTCCTAACCCTTGTGTCCTTTTCCTTTCTTTCAGGGTTTTGAGGACCCCAAGGACAAGTAAGCAAATTTACTTCTGTCATTCACTGTTACGTTTGCACATTTGGGATTTTTTTCTCACATTAAAAAAAGACAAAAATTAATGCCCAGCAGCCAAGAATAATGCCTGGACTCCCCAGAGGTTTCTCCTGGAGGGACGGCCAGTTGAGGGCATGGGATTGACTGATGTGCATTCAGAACTGTCGCTGCCCTCAAAACGTTTATTCGTTTGTGTGGTTCTAACTTGCGTTTGTAATTAAAATGCTTTTGCTGCTCTTCTCCTTGCCCCCAATATTCTTCGCTATTTGCTGCTTTGAAAATATCCCAAGAACAAAATCTTCCTGTAAAGTATGTCTAAGTGTTGAACATCTCAGATAAGAAAAAATTAGATATGTACTGAAATATATATAGTTTCTGAATTTATTTGTATATATTTTATATTATTCATTATTACATGTTACTTATTTCTATATATAAAAATGAACTCAGAAATGACAGCTTATTTGAAAAAGTAAATTCAAACTTTCATGCTCTAAAATACAGCCACATTAAAGCAGCATTTTCATTTTTTTCATATAGAACTTTAAAAAACATTGGTTAAAATAACAAGAGTGGTATTTTGAAAAATTGCTTTTGGAGGGGAAAAAACCCAACCGTGTTCACTTTTTAACTAATACAGCTGGACATAACAAAAGCATTTCCTGTATTGAAGGTGTTTGGAATAATTTCACATTCAGTCCTACTGAATGCCATTAATTGTAAGCTTGCTTAGAGCAAGATAGGTGACAGTAGAGGAGATTGATGCCTAAAATATGTTGCTGTTGCTCCTTATCACGTTTCTCAGGCTGCTGGTCTCAGGGCTAAGCATACCTCTGTGAGCTGGGACAGGTAGATGCTTCTGTGGGCCTTAAGCATCTGGCTTTGGGAAAATTCACATTATGATGGTTGAGCATTGAGAGCAACTCCCTAAAAGTAAAGGGAAGTGATAAATTTGAACATAGCAATATTAAGACTCATTCTCCCCTTCCCTCGCCCTTCACTGCAAACTTGATTTTCATAACGTTTAGGTCCATGCATCCTGGGATGTTTCACTGGTGCCACAAGGTGTCTAGGGGAAGTCACCAGGGTTTCTTGTTGCATCCATGGCTGCTGGGAACTCAGTTGATGTTAGATATGCTTTGGACAGAAAAGAGCTAACAACAAAATAATTCTTAGGAGTACAGAAATTTTAAGTATGCCTCATGAAATAGTATCTCTCCTCATAGTTTGTGCAAGAAAACATAAATTCAACTCCCTCAGTGTTGGTCCACAACAGAGTCACCCAGCTGGCAAGGAACGGCATCTCCACTGTTGCTCCAAGGACCATAATGTCTCTCCTCCATCCTATAGTTTGAAAAGGTTACCTGAGCTGTTACGGCCAATGCTAAGAGCTGTGTATTTACAGTGCTGATTCAGTGTGACGCCATCTTATTATACAGATTGCAGGATTTTTGCATTTCTGTTCAGCACCAAAAGAAGCTACTATTTGCCTTAGATTCTCTTGATCCAGAAATCTGTTTAACTCAAGAACAAAGATTTAGCCAAAAAAAATCTCTAGCAGAAAATGTTCATGGTGATACTGGTTAAAATCAGATACCTAAACCATGTCAAGTACTCAACCCAGTGCAACATGCAGAAACACTGAGCATCAGTACTTTTCTCTTACAGCGAAGGAAGACGTAGGCACCACGCATCTCTGACAGGACCTGACACTTATGTGCCTAAACGCAGATTTAGTTATTGAATCTAGGCATGAGGCATTTAAAATTATGGCATACATGTAGTTTTGGCAGTGGTCGCACTCTTCCTTTGCAGAAAGTAATTAAATCAGAACTTTTTTTGATTACTCTGAAGCCAGCATCTCTGGGTTAATTGCTTGCTTTCACATTTGCAAGCAGAGTGCAAAAGTTGCTCCAAGCTCTGTTCATGCTGTTCCTGTCCCTTGCAACAACTTTCTGTTGGCTGCATTTGGAGAAATCTCAGCAGTGCTTTTAAGAGGTGTTTCGTGGCAGCCTGAAATCCTTGTTTCCCCCACCACCACCACACTATCAATATATCAATAAGTGTTTCCACATATGAATTTCATTAGTTTATGGCAGTACCTCAGCTCTGACTTACAGGCACTGCCTCCAGGGCACTCCTTAGCACAGGGAAATTTTGTGTTTCAATTTAAAATAACATTTATGCAAATGTCCCAAACTTGCTGTACAGTAATTTAGTTTGGGTACAACTGGCTGTGAAAGTCACCCAAGCAGCGAGGTATATGCAAGGTGACAGCTTCCCTGCAGGCTACGTGAAGGTGCCTGCCTCACTGTGAATATCCCAGCAAGGCAATTTAAAACCTGCAAGGGTATTTCTACGCAATCTGCAACCACAGAAGTTACTGTAGTATTAGAGATACCCTCAGCGGTATCGTGACCTATTACAAAACTGGAGGCAGCCAAGGCGAAAGCCCAAGCAGGCAGTTTCTTCTTCTCTTCACATCTTCCTGAGTGAGACTTTTAGACTAGAACTTGAAATTTAACTGAGGTTCACCAAGATGCTGAGCCAACTCTTTTGCTTCGGTTCTAGGGGAAAATGTATTGCATCTCTTGTACGTGGTATGAAATGACTAAATGTGAATGACCCAAATGTGTAAATATCTTGCAGGATCTTGGAAGACATTCTGTAAATACAAAGCCTAATTATTTCCTTGCTCATTTTTATGAGTCCAGAAGACATTGTGAAGACTGAATGAAAATAAGCAGCATTGTCTTGAATGCTCAAGCAGCTGTGCGTCCTCTAAGGAGGCATCTAGAAGTAAATTGAACGTCCTGTCCTTCTAGGGGCAAAACCACTTTTAATTTCAAAGTGGAGTATACGAAGTTCAAGGAATTAAATAACTCTAGAGCCTAAAAATAAAAAACTCTTTTCCCCAACCCTGCTGAAATATTAAGATTGGCTAAAATAGAGATAAGACCTTGAGACAAACTAGGTTTGCAGTTGCTATATGGTCACTAAATAGATGCCGATGGTGTGTCAACATGACCTAGCTGAGGTGTAGACACATTCAACTTGCTGGCTGGGGCAAAGGAAGTTGGAATGGAAATGAGTAGATGGACCTGATTTATTTTTCTCTTGGCAAGAAGTGCATGGTAGAGTTAGGGTACAGAGGGCTTCTTGAAATCCGGTCCAGTTTTGCAGAAAGCTTTTGGAAAGGGACCTTTAACTTTTAAAACAGAGTCACACTCTGTTTTGTAAGCTGTTTTGAGCGGTCTCTGCTCTACAGCACCTGTAGGGTGCCCAGTGGCTGCAAGACAGTATGCACTATGCACTGTTATGCAGTACAAAGAAAATAAAGCAGTGTTGCTTTTCATCATGCTTGTCAGACCTTGGGATGTTTTCTCCAGAGCGCCTAAGGTGAAGGTCACACAACATGAGCCGTAAGTTCCTGTGCCGTCCTGGGGTTTGCACATAGAAATAGTTATCCACTGGAATATGCCCCTGTGCAAGTGGGGGGCGTATTCCAATGGGTAACTATTGGTATATCCCGTGGATAACCTTGGCAAGCAGAGCAGAAAAACAGCACTTCAGGGTTAGCTTCTAATTTCTGCCTATAGCTAGTTTTAAGGCAGGCCATTAAAGTGACAGCATCAAGTCATTAAAATCCTGTTAGATTTTTAAAATAACTAGAGAGTCTGGGGAGGTACTTCAGGTTTCCTGATCTTCAGTGCAAAATGCCTCAGGGTGATTAAGTTTTCAGTGTCATTTTTTTCAACAGTTTTTGAAAATCAGCCTCATTTTTCTGAAGCTGTAGCTGAGCATCAGAAACACACTGATACTAAAGATTATAAGCAATTTAGAAATCTTGTTCCACATATTCAGAAAGCAGAATCTAATTTGTATTTTCTTCTTTTGCTACCTTTTTCTTTTGCAACCTTTCCTCGAGTTAAGTAAATATCTTGTAAACAGAAAATTTTGTCTGATTTATGCTTTATACTCATAAATAACTACACGAAGAGGAGGCAGTGGGGCATCAGGCCACATTTTTTTCCCCACATGTTCGTTCTATGAACAATTTTTTCTCAAAAATGGAGAATTCTTCAAGTTCGCATATTTTCAAAGAAATATTTACAGAAATTATTATTGGGAAGCAAGAAATATGACTGGTTACATAAATCATTTTGCCAGTTCAGGCACTAACAGCTATGACAGCACAGCGGTGCAGGGAAGAATAAGTTAGAGGACTAGTGGAAGGAGACTACTGACTGGTTTTAGAGAATGAAGGACAGTAAAGAGACTGCAAGGCAAGAAAACAGATGGCTATAGTATAGAAAAAGGGCAAGTAAATCAAATCCTTTCACTGGTGGACTCAGGACTGACAATGAGCTCTAGAGCCGATATCATTTTCCTCTCAGCTCATAATCCAATTTTCCAACTTGCAGCTGTCATAAGCAAAATGCCATTAACTTCCAGCTTGTTATAGAGTGAAATGATAACATATGGTGAAGAGGGGGAAATTATCTTGCCCTCTTACGCTCCCTTTTTGTGACATCCTCAGGAATACACAGGAAAGTATGAACCCAGAAGATGAAGTGGATGAGTTTCTGGGCCGTGCCATCGATGCCAGAAGTATTGATCGGTTACGCTCTGAGCATGTGCGCAAGTTCCTCTTAACATTCAGGGAACCTGACTTGGAGAAAAAGGTAACGTTGTCTAGAAATCATTGTAACGTGTCAGTCAAGCTTGTTGTTGAGTTTTAATACTCCTGCATAAGGTCAAGCTTTTATATCTATAGATAAAGCTAGATTTTAGGTGTTTGAGGTGGGGTTGTGACCTTAAAAAATCCATGCTTCTTCATGGAAACCTTAACATCCATGTGCCTAGAAAGCCACAGTCATCTGAAGGGAGAACTTGCCAGGAAAACCAAGCCATTTCTGTCAGACACACATGAATATACAATGATGAGCTGTAAAGGGAATCCAGAATAAGCCAGATTTGTTTCTCTGACCTTGAGCCGTCCCAACTGAGATTGCAGTCACCCCTTATCTCCCTCAAATCACTGGAGAAACCTGCTTCAGCATGCCTGAGCTCCAGATCACCTTTGGAGGGGCTTTACTATGCCCTTTGCCCCCCAAGGGAGCACCAGGTGCTACTAAGGTTCATTGGGATGCAATTTTAGGGTACCAATTTTAAGCAACAAGTAGAGTTCTCTGTCTCACAAATGTGAGCTGAAATCAGCTCCCGAACAGCTGATTGCTTCCTGATTTTGTTCCCAATAACATTGTTGTGAGGCAAAGATCTTTTCAATTTCTCTGTCTGTATAATAGAGACAACATCGGCTCTAGATGGCTGCAAAGTTAAATTCAGCTAAGTCCAGAGGTACCCAGATGCTATTATTAAGGATACTATATAAACTGCTGTTTTTAATTGCCCAAAGAAAGTCAAAGTCATCTTTTTTCTTTTTTTTTATCCAAGCACAGATCCTTGGGATACTTGAGTGGTTTTCAGGTTAAACTCATTACTCCATAGAAAAAGCTTCAGTAATTAAGTTTGCACTATTTTAGCATTTTATTTAGAAACAATCTTTCAATGACAGGAATTACACCCTATTGCAAAAGCATACCTTTGCAGGATTTACAGCTATTCAAATGAATCAGTGTGGGACAGGATAAAAGCTCAAGCATGTAATTTTCCCCCACTCCTTCCCTTCAATTTTATGGCTGAAAACTGCTAGGGAAATTAGCGGTTCACCTGTTCTGAGCACCTTTTATTTTGTGGTTCAAATATTGAGACCGTCTGTACTGAGAACCATGCTTCAAGCTAAATAAAGCGTCTTTGGGAATCAGATGCAGCTCCCATGTGACCAATATGTTGACAAGTGGTTGGAAAGAGTAAAAAAAAACATCCTCGCACTATCATTAGGACGAGCCAAACCGTCTGCACAAAATACAAGGTTTTCTCATTAGCAGCATTCATCCCTGTTGGAGGAAACTTCCCATGGAAGAAGTTTAGGCCTGACGATGGTGACCTAGAATCCTGGTCCCAGTTAATCCATTCATGTTCCTCTCATGCAAGGGGCAGATGGTGAATCCTCTCTCCACCCAGCTGTACGGGTTTGTTCCTTGGCCTTTGGGTCTGTTCAAGCCCTTACAGCTTGCCCAGGGAAAAGAAGAGTTTGTAATGTTAGTCGTTTCCTACCAGCGCTGCTTTCCAAGGACCTAAACAGAAGCCAAGAAAGAAGTTTTTGTGAAGAGAAGGCAGCCAGCGAAATTTCCCACTAACATAACCCTGTTTGCATTTTTGCAGTACTCCAAGCAGGTGGATGACAGGTTTGGAGCCTACGTGGCTTGTGCCTCCCTAGTCTTCCTCTTCATCTGCTTTGTTCAAATCATAATTGTGCCACAGTGAGTATCTTTTAATCCCTTTGCTCCCATCTGCTCCCCTCCTCTATTCTGGCCTACTTTTCTTTGTTTTTTTCTTGAGAATTCAGAGCACCAAGGGGAAGAGAAAAATCTTTAAATAATTCATGCTCAAGTGATGTGTAGAGCTTATTGTTTTCACTCATTTCTAGTGCAGATTAAAACCTCCTCACTGGCACGTGAGGATTTCTGTTTTCCCAGCATGATTTCTCTTACCGTTTACCTCCATCTTAGGAAATTCAGTTCAGCATGTTTATAAGCCCGTGGAAAACAAATATGACTAAGTACCTAAAGTACTATGCACCTAAGGCATAGTACACATTCACAACATGAGGCTAGGCTGTCCTCTTGTCTGAACGCAGTGAGATGGAGAGGTGAAAACCCCATCACAGCCGCGTTGCTCAGAGCACTGAGGTCTCAGGGTATGCTTCACAGATGAGGCACAACTTCTCATGTATTTATTCTTCTGGACTCAGAGTAGCAGTGCAAGAAGAAAGGTACAGGAGCTGAGCTACACATGCCTGCGCTTTGGGTAGCTCGTTCTGGGTTTAGGGGCTGCAGTCCTTTCTTTCCCCAGGCAAGAGCGGCATAAGCTCCTCAGGGCTGTGGGGCACAGTGCTCTTGGACCACTGCAGTGCATTGCTTTCTCTGAAAGGCACAGTGTAAACCATTGGATCTTTTCCAGCAGTGAGCTCTGCAGACATGGTATTTCTTCTCAAAGAGTTCATTAAAAAATCCCTTAAAATTAAAGCAAGTTTGCATTTCCTGTGCTCTCGTTTAGTAGTAATAATATAGCATTCACTGAGTACTCCTGTGTTGGAAATAAATTTAGAGTTTGTCATTTTTAATTTGAAGAACAAGATCACAGAAGCTCTGAAAATGCTCCAAATTCATCTTCATTACAAGAAGACAAAGAATTGTTTACAGAGAGCTCCAATACTTTTATATGCCATTACAACTGCTTTCTACTTCTGTTCGCACCACAGATCTTTTCGCAGTAGAGATTGGTTTGTACCGTTCAGATCAGATATTTGGAAGGTCACAGAAACGATGCATAGTCTGATGTTTGAGGTCACTCACTCTCCCAGGCAAGAGGTCATTCATTTCTGCTCACAGAAAGATTGAATCAGCAAAATAACATCAGAACAAATGCACTGTGTAAACAGACAGATCCACTTTGGGAAACTGGAAGCGAAGCTGGAAGAGGGTCAAAATTGAAACTAGATCAATCCCAGCAATTAACAATTAATTATGGCCAAAAGTGTTCTTTGAGAGTAATTGATTTAGTGAGGGCTTACACTTCGGATCTCTGGATATTACTGCTGTGACTTCACACCTGCAGAGGTCCTCCACCAGCCTTTGTGTTGCTCATCAAACTCCCTAAGCAGCCACTAAGCTGTCTCCATAAAACCCAGTTTAACATTTAAATGACAACCTGACAATTTCTGATCTGTGGCAACCATATGGCTGACTCCTTTGTATTACACGGGAGCCAATCCCTTATGGCAGCGTGGTGTAAATGTCATGCTGCTCAGTCTGCTTCCACGCCACCCATGAGGGTGGTGGTTAGGTGTTTTGGTAAGTTCAGAAGCGTCCTTAGGCAGCCTGGCCTGTCTGAAAGATGATTTGGTTCAAGAGTAAATAAAATTTCATGTTTTAACTGCAGGTCAGATATACTTCCCTTCACCTTTTGGTTTGGTTTTCCTTATATTTCAATTGCCTAGTTTTGGTCTTTTACTGAAGGTAACAGTTAAGCAGCAACTGAAATCCCCGGTGTATATGTGTCACCATGAGAGCTTCATGAAAGACACAACATGGAATTTGAATCTGAAAATAGAGACAAAATGGCAGCGATAATTTATGATGATAAAGAGGAATAGCTTTAATGAATTTCTCAAAGGCTCAAACAGTGAATTAGCAAGTACAATTATCTTAGTAGTCATGAGAGAACACAGACCAGCTGGCTTTGGTGTGGTTGGCCTCAATGTCACGTCGCGAGAATACTTCCTTTAAATTATGAACAAGGCTAACTCCTGGGAGGGGGCCTGTCCTGTCACACTGAGACCAATCGCTGGGAAATTGTTGTTGAATATCTTCATGATCAAAACACATGAAAATGCACAGTACAAAGTTGGCCCTGGGGTCCTGTTTGTACTTCGAAGTTGGGAGGAACAGGAACCTATCAAGCTGACCAGGCTAAAGCCGTTTTCCCTGACTATTCTCATGCCATGCACGAGACAGAGCACGGAGGATGGTGCAGCACAGACGTTCCCTGTGCACAGCAAGGATGGGTAGCTATTCCTATTGAGACTATTCCCACTCAGCTGCACTGCAGCACTCAGCATGCTTTCCTTCCCAGGGGTCTCCTGCCCACAGCCAGCCGGGGCTGATCCGCTGTAACAAATTGTTCTATCAACTCCTCCAGCACATTAAATATTTCTCAGTCCCTCTGCTGTCACCCTGGCAGGAAGGTGATTGCTATAAAAGATGCAGTATTCTCTGCTCTGCAGCCTGCCTGAGTAATTCGAAATAGGACAGAGTATCCGTTGGTATTCAAGGCACCTCGTATCTCCTACTGCTATCCTAATTGGAAAGCCCGTGCAATGTGTCATAGCTTGTACAAATGTCATGTTCTGGAGAGCAGAGCTGTAGCTATTCTTTATGGTGTGCATTTAAAAAAAATTATCTCCTTGATTTCAGCTCTACATTTATGCTGGCTTTTTACCTGACCTGTTTCCTGATCCTGACCACGGTGGTGTTTGTTTCCGTCATTTACTCCTGTGTAAAGGTGAGTACTGTGGTTTCTTTGTAGAGTCCTTTGCCTAAGCTAACTGGATCAGCAATCTGTTTCTTCAGCTAACAGAGCGTGTTTTGATAGCCATCCTTTCCACACTATGCGATAAGGGTTACAGAAAAAGCCTTTGATAAGACAGAATGAACTGCAAACAGATGTTAGGGTTGGCATCTCTTTAGCTCATCGAGAAGTAATCACTGTGTGGATCTGCATGTCTATTAAGTCCCCTGCAGGCACTCTCATATTGATATAAGAAGAATACATTTCCCAATGTGGAACAAAACACTGACCATTCGTTTCCTCCCTGTAAACTTGCTGCGGAGTCGCCTGTGTACTGGCCCCTGCTGCATACGCATGTTTGGGTAGGCAGATAATCAGAAGCAGAATATCATCAAGGAAAAATGTCCTGGGGGGAAATAAAAGCTGTAAACATATAGGAGTTTATCAGCCTTTCTCAGATGAGTGTACAGAGCTTCCAGCATTCGGTGGGCTCTTTCTTGTAACTGGTTTTGGTAAGCGAAGAAATATGTTGTGTGAAATCTGAAAACAGTTAGTTCTTGGTATTCTGTGGTAAATTGGCAGTCAGCACTTTGGGAAGGGTGATGTCCTCATCTTTTTCACTCAAAGGTATTCATATTAAAATGTTGATGCTAGTTGATTGTATTTGCAGTTTTGGGGATCTTTCCAGTCTAGCAGTGGCTGAAAGTGGAAAACGTTCAGATTCAGGCTCCTTAGCCCAAGCTGAGCTTTGCTCCTCAGAGTCTGGAATAAAATAGCTCAGTAGCTTTATGTTTCCTGCAGAAGAAACAATGGGGTAATGGATTATGTCAGGCAGATGATTTGCCTCGCTTTAATTATCTTCTCTGTGCCATTTTCAACAGTTGAATGTGGGTGCTCTTGACAGACTTGCACCTTTCATGTCTTTTTGGTTTTTGAAAGTTAGATTTGGAGAATTAAGCTTTGCCTTCATTTAATAAGAGCTACAAACTGTTCCCAGTGAAAGAAGCTTCAGGTTATATTTGAACTTAACAACTCACTCACAGGGCTTCCCTTGGGCTTATGACAATTTTAAAGGGAGCCTAGTTCATAAGCGCAGCATCCCATTGGTCCTGCTGGTTTACCAGCAATGAGAATTACGAGTCAGAAATAACAGTGCTAATAGGAAGGCTTGGGTCTCTTGAGCTGAGAAATGGTACCCAAAGATGCCTCGTTATTACATGGTGTGTCCATTGTATGTGAGGATGCTACTGTCATTAGTTTGTAAACTGGTATCAGCAGTTAATGTGATTAGCAGTTAATTAACAACCAATGTGGAAAGCTTTTGGTCACAGCCACAAAGGACTTGGAAACTCGGTGCAGAGCTGTGCTGGAGCCTGCTCCTGCTGCAGTGCCACTGGCAGCAACATCCCAGCGCACCGCCAGCCATGCAGAGCCACACCATCACACCAGCTCTACTGGTGCTGTGCAAATATTGGGGGAAGAGGTGTGGCAGACCCAGACGTCTGAAGCATTCAAGCTGGCTGACTTGCAACCAGACGGATTTCAAGGTGCACAGCTGTTTTGTCGCCCACTGGCTTTTACAGGCTTAGGTTGCTTCCACATGCTGACAGCAGCACTCATTTCTTCTGTCATCGTTCAAAGGTTTTGGTTTTGGTTTGGGCTTTTTGGTTTACTATTATTACTGATCTTAATTAACAATTAATTTAAAAGGCACACAGGATTTTTCAGCCCCTGTGACCCTAGGCAGATGTTCAGTCTTGCTTTCTTTGCCTTGATCTTCAAAATTCCTGCAGAAGAGGTCTATGCAGTGGTGCCTGCAACTGTTTTTAGGCTGGCTTTGCCTCAGTGCACAGGCCATGGAAATACAAGGCATCAGAGGGAATTCAGACTAACATCAGAATTTAATGGGATTTTATGAAGCTCCTGGTATTTCAAAAGTGAATTTTCAGCATGTTGGCCCAGACCCTCAAAGTGCTTATGTGTAACATTCAGTGTGGCCGGCACCTTGTGTGCACAGATTGCAAATATTGAAAATATCGGGCTTTCTAGCTCCAGTACCTTTTTGATTACCCCTTTTTTAGTGCTCCAAATTAGCCTCTGCTGACAACATCTGATTATGAGATGGCTTGTTTAGGGGATGGGTACTTCTGGCTTGTCAGCTACTGTCTGATGGCAGCAGCTCCCAGTAGCTGCAACCTGCTTCTGTCATTAAAGATTTTGGTGTTTCAAGTCAAGAGTTTTTTAAGTAATGGGTTTACCCAGCCCTCGGTTAAGGGGTGTTACTTTATTTCTGTACTCCACATTGCTCCAGGAAGTATTTTTACGTATATGCACAAGGAAAGCACTTCTACAGATCCTTTAGATAAAATTTTAAGACACAGGTCAACGTTGTTTGTTTTGTTTCACACTTGGATGTGGGATAGGAGAGCATGTGTTTTACATACCAATGGTTCATTTCACACAAAGTTGGAAAGCAGGTGTCCACCCCAGGATATCTGCATAAGCATAACTTTTGCCTGTTTGCTGTGCTGCTACATGCTAAGTGGCTCTTTTTTCTTCCTCTTTCCAGCTTTCATGTGAGATTTTCCTTCCTTGTTTTGGCCTCTCCATCTCTGGCTTTGACAGTGGCCAGCAGGCTCTTTCTGGACAGCTTGATCATGTTTTATTTTCTTTTGCTGTCATTATTATCTTCCACTATAAAATTCTCCACGGACTAGAAGTTGATCCTGGAACTGCCAACGCAGCCAGCTTGGCTTTCCAAGTTTCTTCAGCTGTAATAAACAAGAGAGTTCCAGTTCTTCACTTTGATGCTCCATGAAGACTTGGCCACTGTGAGATGGTGTTCCTTCCCACTAGAGTCTAAGGTCATGGGAACCAGGGTCCCTTCGCAAATACTCCACTGACAGACATCTGTTTTGCTACTAACTTACCAAGTTTGTGTTTCTTCTTAAAATCCTTAACTTCTGGTATCTGCACTGCTGTGTGGAATTCAACTTCTTGCATGTTCCTGGGAGCATGTATGAGAGAAATTTCAAGTTATCCTTTACAAGAAAATAAGTTTTTCTGTAGCTTTACATATTTGCAGCTTGCCTGCCTGTTTCTTTGCCTCCCAAAGCTGGTCCAGATGCTACTAAAGCTTTTTTTTTTTTTCTTCTTCTCAAGCAGGGGAAAAAATACCTCTGAAAACTGTACTTTTTTACTTAGACTAATAAATCACTGTGAAATAAGTTACATAAATGGAATTGCAACATCAAGTTGCCTGGAGATGTTGTCTTTTACTCTAGAAGCATCTTAATGTACTTCAAAATGACTCAAAGGCTTTTATTACAAATTGAAAAATCAGAACTTAAAGACCTCATAGTTTTTTTCATCTCACAACACAACAGCAATTATCTAAGCAGTTTTCCATGTCCACAATGTATGTTAAGAAGACAAAAAGGAGAAATACTACTCTTCTGTGTGTGATCAGCTGTTATTGCAAAGTACAGTTTTTATTTAGTGTATTTTTGTCATGTAAATGACTGGAGGTCGTGGAGGGTGCATAACACCAGTGTACTTGTTGGATCGCTTTTAAAATTTGGACTTTCACCTGTACAACAGTGCCCTACCTTCCCTTTCTATATTTATTAGTACCTGCATGCTTTTCAGAGCCTCTCTTTTCTGGGAGATAATGTCTTCCAGCAGCATTTATGCATTTCAATTCAGATGAACTGGAATCAGCTGGACAATCCAATTTCCTTTTTCCCACTGTGGATGTTTTTCTTTACACTGTGGATATTTTTCTTTACATGGGGATTTTAAGAGGGCTAATGAGTGACCTCAAGCTTGTGTGGCAACCCGAATGTTAATCTCAGCTACCCAAATGGATCACAGCCTTTCTTTCAGCCCCTGTTCTCAGTAGTACATGTGTGGGCTTAAGAGTTGTCATTTCATCAGACCTTCCCTTGTCCTGTTCTTCACTCAGGCAAGACTGAGTGTTATTAGGAGGAGTGAATGATGTTGCACAGTACAAAGCAATGGGCTAAGCAGCAACAGTGCCTGGATTTTCACTGTACTATAACGTCCTGATGTTCTGCTGCTTTTCCTAGGACAGAAGGGATTCAATTTTATTTTGTTGGAGTATGGGAGTGGAAGTCATCTTCTTTTCTGTTTTCTTCTGTTTTGTTATACCCCTGATTTGTGGATGTTTTTATGGAGGGAACATTGCTAGAGTGGAGCTGAATTGTCAGAGCTGGACAGGTCCCCCATTTCTGTCACAGAAGTCCTCCAAGCTGCAATTATTCCTGGTCTCTGTCTGCCCCTGTGAAATGGGGAGAGCATTACCTACGTTATAGAGCCTCCATGAATGCTGTTCACAAGGAAGAGGTTCCTCAGATATGCGGCATGGCTGTGCCATTGCGCTCTCTATTGCAATCCTGACCTCCTATGGGTTTTGGCATTTGTTGCCTCTTCAGGACTTTTTCCAGCTGTACTTGTTTACTGACCTAAAATATTCCCTAGTTTGCAAAGTAATGAGAACCAAAATTAATACAAAGAAAACATGTTTTCATTACAATTTAAGTGTCTTCCACTGATAGCTTTGCTTGATATCTCAGGCTTGGTTCAAAGTCAGGCTTTTTTGAGATCATTGGCAACAGGGATTTGAGCCAAGATCCACAACAAAGCACTCCCGAGTTTTATTTAGGTGCCTGGTTTCCCAGAGATTACAGAAGGAGGTTAGGTCCGTGCATACCTTTGTGGAGCTTGGCCTCGAGGCCTAAACAGATGGGTGGCAGGAAAACCTGTCCTGCTCTAATCTAGTGAGAAAACTGTCTAAATGCACCACAAATCCTCCTTCTCCCTCTAAATCCTATAAAGGTTAGAGCAGGGGAAAGCCCCATGGCATTTCCCACATCCCTGTGCTGGTAGGGATCTGCTAGCTGATGTCTGTGTGGAAGCAGCTTGGACATGGTAGGGCAAAGAGGTATTTTGGTTCATGGTTTATCAACAGAGCCAAGGATTTCTATATCAGCAAGGTTTATTTCGAGAGAGAGGTGTTTTGCTTTGTTTTACAGTGGCTGCATGAGCCTGAAGGATTGCATAAGCTTTCAGTGAATTTCAGTCAATCCTCATTCAGTGCAAATAAGTCACAACCCTGATTTCCCCTTTCTTCCCATTCCCGACAGAGCCTTGCCCTCTCCTCTCACCTGGAGTTAGCTGGATTTTTGTGCGTGTGCTGGTAGCAGGTGAAATCAGCTCTTTCAAAACTCTTTGCCACAACTTCTCTCTCCCTCTGCAAAAGTCACCGGCTAATCAGTGCATTGGCCGTTCAAATGCTTCGTAATTACTAGGACTGCTGTGTGGGAAGCTATGCACTAACAAAATGTTGAATCTCTGAAGATGTAAGAGTGAAGGATAAAAGGGAAAAGCAAGACTTTTAATAGAAGCATTAGTCATAGTTAAATTGCAGTGCCGTGCTGCTGCGCTGCTAGCTTCTTTGTGTCTCTAAAAATACCCTCTAGTGGCTTTGTTATTTATAAAAAAAAGTTGGGTTCTGGAAAAAACTTCAGCAGTCTTCAGCAGAGCCCCTCTGCCCCAGCGCGGTGGCGTGGAGGGGAAGGACACTGCGGGGCTGATGATTTCCAGCAGGAGGGTGTCGGTGCGCAAGGTTTTCCTGGCATCCATCTCTCGTTGCCCCAGCCCTGAGCTTGCACTGGGATGGTGGTGGCACATGAAGAGAAAGGGTTGGTTTCATTGTCTTCTGGGCTTCTCTTGTAGCTAATGCAATGGAAGGAGACCTTATGCGATACTGAGGGGTGACCCTTGCTACAGAGAGCACCTGGTTAGTCTCTGCTTCAACACAGAGACTGTTTCTACCCGGAATACGATGCAGCACCTAAAGCAAAGCAGTCAGAAAGCAATTAGAAGAAAGCTTCTGGCTCTGATAGTAGTGAATCACTGGGACAGTCTGTCTAGGGGAGCTCTGTGACCACCCTCTCCAGCAGTTATTTTTAGCCCCATGTGCCTGTGGTGCCGAGTGCCATAGACCAGACGTGGCCAGCTGATTTCTCCAGAGCCTTCACCGAGGGTCTGACAGATCATGAGACTAGCCTGGGCTTTTTAACAGTCTGTTTCTGAAATGGCAACAGAAAATCCTACAATATGCCTTTGTGATCAAAGGGAGATGACATGTATTTTTTCATTTCTGCTTTTTTAAATTTTTGATCCAGTTATTTACAGGCTTGAGCTCCTGGCTATTTTAGTTACAGATGGCTTGTGGTTTGCTTCTCACGACAGGATGAGCACAGCCCTGCAAGCCATGCTATCTTGGCTCAGGAGCCATCATCCCCATTAGGAAGGACTAAGTAGATTTGGTGAGCCAGCTGGGCCTGCTGCCACGAGGCGGTCACGTTCCTGCTCGCCCCTGTCCCGGAGCTGCCATTGCCCATCACCATTCTCTAACCCCTGTGCAGCATCCGCACAGATGCCGCTCTGAAGGATGTGGGCAGCTCAAATGCAGGTTGTAATCTGTAAAACAAGCAATGATTTTACATGTTTGTTTAATTTTTTTTTTCTCCCCACACATGCAGCTTTTCCCAGCTCCGCTCCAGACTCTTTCTAAGAAGATTGTACAGTCCAGGACCAATAGTACCTTAGTTGGAGTCTTTGCCATTATCCTGGTTTTTCTATCTGCCTTTGTCAACATGGTATGTGCATTATTTCCTTTTGACCCACTCACTTCTGCATGGTTTTCTCATTGGTGCTCTGCAGCATCGTAACCCTTACAAACCACTGGGTTTAATGTAATCCTGCCTAATGCTTATAGTATCTGAGGTCACTTCCCTTTTGGTTTTCAGGCACAGAAAAGAAATGGGAGCCCGACAGCTGCATCCCTATAGCCCATTATATACCTGGCACCAATTTGCGCCCATGTTCTTTTCTGATTCTTCACATGCTTCTGCTCCAAGTACATAAGCCAAGCCTGAAGCGTACCCCTGCGTGAAGGGCCAGCACAAGGCCGATGCGTCATTTAACTCCCACAGTACTGAGTGGGACTTAATGTTGCGTAGGCTTTGTGCCGGCCTTCTGCACGGTGCTGCATCCTGCTCTGAGTACAGTGATCACCTAACAGGGACTGTGAAGACTTTGCTTTGAGTTGCATTTTTGGGAGCAGGGTGGTCTAGCTTTGCATTCAAATGCCACTGCTGATTTCAGACTTGGAGAGAGACGGGCTGTTCTCTAGGACCCTGTGGCTGCTGGTTTCTCACTTGTACAAATGGCTTGATGGCTGAATGTAAATTAAAGAAACCACTTGAATATTCTCTACCCTGCATTCATCTATTCCATTTTTTTAAGAGAGTGGGGAAAAAAAGGAGAGATGGGCCTGGTGTTAAAGCCCTGAGCTTGGTGGTAGCTACAAAGACCTCGCATGGCCCTCAGCTCCTCTCAGCCATGGCCTCAGCTGCAGCAGTGCTGATTTGCACTGCCATGGAGAGGCTTAAACAACTAAAAATCAGACCACTACTTGCTCTTGCCTCAGCTTCCCTATACACATAGTGGAGGTTTAGGAACAATTTTATGTTCTGTTGAGGTACTTGAATGGGAGGCGCTAGCTCAGTGGCATTGACACCCCACCACCTTCCCCCATAGTCACCTGCAAAGAGCTGGTGTGGGTTGCTGAGCACCATGCAGAAATTAGAGATTTGTTTCTCTGCATAATGTGTGATTCTTTGCATTTGTGAACTGCTTAGTATAAAAATTAGCAAAATGGACAAACAGAGCAGCACATGGAGGAGATCAGAATGGGCCTCTGCTGCTTCCTCAGCATAACATAGCCCACCAGCCTTTAAGCCTTGCTGCTGAAGTCTTCCCTGTAGAAGGACCCACAGCAGAAGTTTTAGAGATGGCAGGGGAAAGTTATCAGCTCAGAAATTCCCATCAGCAGAAATAGAGCAACACCAGGACCTCATCACAGACAGCAGGATATATTTGTATGTGTAGTATCTACAGCCCCTCTGCCTGTGAACCTTCAGACATAAAGTTGTACGTGAAGTTGAGCACGAAACTAGCTTTCTAGAGTGCACAGCCTGGACTTTATTAATTAATATTCTGGGGGAGAAAAAACATAGCCATTGCACATGCAGCAAAATGTAAGCCAGTGATTTCATTTTGCATATTTTGCACATTGCTACAGCCATTTTCAAGGGGCTTTTTACTTGATGTGAACTGTTTTGTTTTCTTCTCCTTGTCTATGCTATTGAGTTTAATACCATCTTTTTCTTCAGTTCCTGTGCAGCACTGTGGATCTTGCCAGCTGCATGGCTGCAGAATACAACATCACTCCTGACCGGGTGGACATATGCCTTATCAGCAACCTGACTTCCAACTACAGCCTGGGCACCTTGCAGGGATTCTGTGACAGTCCTTTGCCCAACTGCAACTTTCCAGAGGTATTGCTTGAAAAAAATGGATTGCAGAGCTTGATCTGAGAAGGGGCTATAAAACCTTTCTGATAAATCTCAGTGATTCAGAGGAAAGCAAGGTTGCTCCTGACTGATGTTATAGGACTGACACAGGCTACTATGCACAAGCTGAAGTGTCTGAAGTTATTATCACATTACCACATTAATGTTTAAGTTCCTTCGGGGCTGAATAATCAGTGGACTTTTATAATTGCTGGATCCTCCCTGTAGCAGGATAAATGGCCTTTCTCCATGAAGTCCTTAATGGCATGCAGAACTGCAAGTCATTTCAAAGGAGTTTGTGGGTGCTCAGTGTTACTTGAAAATCAGTTCACTGAAAATCAGTGTCTAGTCATAGATTTAACCCTTCCCTCCATTGTTTTAGATCCTGATGAAAAACTTTGCTGGCCTCAGGTGGGTTAGCAGCCCTGATAGTGGTCTGCTTCAATTTGCAAATGCAAATCCTACCTCCTCAGAATAACTTGTTTAAAAAAAAAAATCAAAACACTTCTAATGGCAAAAAAACCCCAACATATGTTTTACACACTGGTAGAATACTTTGCCAAAAAAATCATCTTTCTGCATAGCTATTCAAGACCTTTCTCTGAGTTTTTAGGTCATGGCCATTACATGTGTTGTCTACTGGAAACTGAAAATGGAAAAAATCTGTCTAGGATGGGGGCAGAATTTATGTCAAGGTCATCTGGGTTTATGGGGACCTGACAGATTTATGGCTGATCTGTTATCATCCAGATGTCCAAGGTGCTACTGAAAGCCCTGGTATCCCACTGAACCTATTTCCATTTAACCTAACAGGAATATGGTCCCTATCTGATGCAGTGAGGTTTTTGAGACCACCGTTACTGTGACTTTCAATCCTGCAAAGGCTCTTAGTGTGTCCGCAGAAAGACCCAGGAGCAAAATCTGGCACAAAGGAGAACTAGACACAGTCTGTGCCCATCATGAGGTTGTCAGGAGTGCTGGTTCAGGACAGAGAAGAATTTTAAGCAATGAGGAACAAGCATTTTGCATGCTGAGGATGCTATGGCAGCCTTGAGGCAGGTCCTGCTGGTCAGTGGGCTAAGAAGTGAGGAGTCTCTCCCCTGTGCTCTGCAGGGCAGGTGTTGGATCTGGTACAGGTGTTGTCTGTTGCTCCCAGTGTGCTTTCAGGAGATGGTGGGATCCCACCCCTCAGCCACAGGGAACATCCACCCATTTTCTGGAAACTGAAGAGTCAAGTTACAAGCTGTACAAGTTATTTTCTCTAATTTAATATATCAGCAATGAACTATTAATAAATGAGCTCAGAACGTAAGTGTATTTCTACTTCAGCTAGGGCTTGCTTTTAACTGAAAGGATGGATTGCCTCAGGCATCTGATACAGGCTTTTTTGCCAGAAATAGGCCTGTCCGGACAGAGTGGAAGCTTAAATCTTGACAGATTTGATAGGAGGAAGGTGATGAGCTGGATAACATGCCTGTCTTCATTTTACATCCATCCTAGCTTTCCCAGGAGCCATAAATGGCACCTGCAGCCTGCAATTGCATTTGAAAGCACCGGCATGCTAAACATTCAGCTCTCAGATTGGCAGAAGTTGCTGCCCCACCACCCAGGTGTGGCAGAGGGCTCCACTACCACACATGCGCACACTTCTGTGACTGCTGGCAGAAAAAATGATCGTGCTGTTGGGCATTGGTAGAAGTTTGTCCAGCCTGTACGTTGCCAATGGATTCAGTGTGTCACATCAGCAGGGGCAATACTTTCCAATTGGCCTCAAGTGGGTATCTTTCCTGGTGGTGTGAATTGCTGCTACCCTTGGTCCTGTGCATTGTGCAGATGTGCGAATTCGAGTCCAGAATTTGACCTTAAAGCATGAAGTATTCCAGCGTAACTGGATGATGCTTTCTGCTACTTCAATAACCGTGTCCAGGGCAAACCTACATCACAACCTTGGGCATACAGCTGTGAGCCCTATGCCTCCTGAGTGTAAAGCAAGTAACGCCTGATGAAGAATGCAAGAGATTTCCTCTCCATCAGTTCAGTTTTAACACTTAAATCTCCTGTAATGTGGGAGAATCCCACAGGCAGCCCCAGGTTTACATGTCCGGTCAGCTCAACTACATAATTCCCAATCCCTTTCTATCCCTCTGTTTAGTTTCCTTTGTTTTCAGTTTTGATTTATCCAGCTGACGTTCATCTGTTTTCTGTTTTTTTTCCCCTTTTTGTCTTTATACAGTATTTTACCTACAGTGTCTTATTGAGTCTCCTGGCCTGCTCTGTGTTCCTTCAGATCAGCTGTATTGGAAAACTGATCCTTATGTTAATCATTGAATTTATATATGTTCTCATTGTGGAAGTGCCAGGGGTCAACCTTTTTGACAATGCAGATCTCCTGGTTACAGCTAACACCTAGTAAGTGCCTTTCACTTCTGAAATCTTCACCTAATTTCTTTCACCCAATGATTTCAGTGTTGCATTAGGTGGAGGGGAGCACCGAGGCTGTGGTGCAAGCAAGGGAAGTGCATGATACCAGAGAAGGCATGGCTGTAAACTAAAGGCTTTGTCAATGCTGCTCTTCACCTCTGAAGAGTAGGAGAACACAGTTCCCTTTTTAATGTGGAACTTGACTAATGTGGAACTTGACTAATGAACTATCTATTAATAACATAATATAACTGGAATCAGAGTGGTTCTGTATTTCTTTTTCTTCCAGAAATGGGGAGTTGTAGTTAGTCATTCTCACTTCTTCTGGTATTACACTCCCAATGTAGAAATGTCTTTTCTCAAAAAAAGAAAAAAAAAACCTCCAACAAACTTGAGCTGGCTCAGGGATGTGATGATGAACCACTGAGATGTTATCTGGTGTATCAAACCCAGGTTGGAGTGGTGGAATGGTGGTGTTTGATGTTTGGTTAGTGATCCCCTGACAGTTGCTGCTGGACACTTGTCCACATTTGACAAGCCAGTATCACAGCAGGTCTCAGCACAATTCCCAGCAGAAGGGCCTGGGCTAAGTGGGATTAGACAGTTGCCCTTTTACTTACAAAAGGTAGTTTATGATCACCAGGTCACACATTAATCATGGTGACAACCTCCTTCCACTGACATGGTTACCCCTCTCCTGAAGGTCACGCCAGGGAGGGAAATTTGGCACATCCGCAAACCCACCCTCCTCCACAAGTTTCATTTCTCACGGGGAGTTGCGTTGTTGTGTTAACTACTTGTTTTGATGATTTCCCCTTGTAGGCAACGATTATATTTGAATGTGAGTCAACAAAGTCATGGTGCTGTCTAAAGGTGGACATAATGCTAGGATGTATAATAAGGAGAGTTGCCTGTAACACACAAGGAGCGGACCATTGCTCTAATTAGGAATGGGAGGGCCTAACCTGGAATATGTTTTCCAGTTTGGGGCAAGAAGGCAGTTCACGATAATGGAGAGTCCAGAGCAGCAAAGAACAATCAGAGATCTGGAAAGCACCAATTTAGGTGAAGCATTTGTCAAAGATGATAGCTGTGGTTGCTCCTGTCTTGGACAGGAGGGCGGTTGAGAAGATTCCCATGGTCCTTCCCAGTGCTATCTTGTAGGTTATGAAATAGCTTGTGTAGTTGCTCAAATTTCTTGATGGTCATTAACACCTTCAAGCTGGATGGACCTGGTTACTTCTGTCCTTCACATAAATATTCCATGATTTTAGCATTCATGTGTGCCCAGTAATAATTAATGGAGGTATGGCTTTTACTGCCATACTTTTACTTTTACTGTAATCACTGTACATTACTTTTACAGTAATCACTTAAATTATTTTCTTAACTCAAGCGAACGAAATTATGTAGGAAACCCCATGGAGCTTTCTGTGGAGGTGTGGGGCGAATGAAGTTTCCCTCCGTTTTTGTGCACTTTAGGTGTTCCAACAGCAGAACCTATTTAGCATTTTCTAACAGAATTAGAGAAATAACAGCATTTTATATCCCAAATATCACTTCATTCTTGTAAGTCAAGCACTAAGCAAAATTACAGCATTTAGAAGTATAATTTACGTCACTTCACAATCAAAATGTCAGTAATAAAGTGGAGAAGGTTTTCCCAGAAATCTCTTTCTGTGATGCTATATTATCTCTCACTAAATGATATTTGTTTTGTCCGGAGAGCCCCATGGACAGCTATTTATTGTCCCAATGTCTGGCAGTCCATTTGTGTGTTGTGGGAAATGGGAGGTCAGCATGTAGCACATAGTTCAGAGATGTACCTTATTGTCCAGCTGATATTAAAAAAAAATGAACATGACCTCATACTACTTTAATTGGGTGCCCGTTGTAGCTACATAATTACTGTCTGCTCTGCAGCCATTATGGTACTCTGACTAATTAGAAGTGATACAGATGTCGCTTCACACTTCCGTGTACAAACCAGTCCAGCATGCAAGCAACTGAAAGGCTGATTATAGGACATTGGGAGTTGCTAGACTTGACTGCAGCGACACACCAGCGTGGTGACACATGAAGTATAACTGGATGCACAGAGCTACTATCATATTACCTTTTCTCTTTCTTTCCATTTAAATAGTGTTTTAAAAGATCCCTGTGCATTGTTCGCAGCCACCTAATACTCCACCCACACTTGAGAAGAAACCCAGCAGCATTAAGTAATCAATCAGTCAGGAACTCAGACAGCTACTACCTACCAGAAAGCTCCTTTTCATCATTTCACTGTAAGAAAAGCACACCCTCCATCTTCTCCAGCAGCTCTGCTTCATACGAGTACTTTGCAGTACTGTGAATAGTAATAGCAATCCGCATAAGGGTTTTTCTTTAGTGCACTTGTGTGTGGTACCCATGGCTAGGCACAACACTGGAGATGAGCGACTTGTGGAAGAAGGGAGTAGTGCTAGAGTTAAAGGAATTAAATGCGTCTCCGTGCTACAATAAATGGGGAAAAGAGGAGCTATCCCTTAACAAGATATTAGCCCAAAGCTTTCTTCTTTAGATCAAATTTTCCAGCCTGACCTAATGAAGTAGTGATGGATGCACAAGCATTTGGTCAGCATCCCACACTGACATCAAAATCCCAAATGATTCTGTAGCTCTTAATGCTTCTTTAACTACATTAACCATGTTGCACCATCACTCTGGATTTTTGAGTATAGCTCAGACGACGTTCCCCCCCCATCTTTTTGGAGTTTTCTGCTTTAAAAGGGCGATAGCCCCACACAGTGTCAGAAGTGCCACATTGCAGAGGTGCTGTTGCATGATGTACGAAAGGACGAGTGCTGGAGGGAGCCAAACCCTCTGCTAACCTTGTGTTTGTGGGTTTTTTTCAGCATGTCTGCGAATGCAACGTTACCATGGTGAGTCACTTTGGCATGAAATACTTTTATGGGGTTTTGTTGGTAGGCATTTTCTGTTCACAAGGTGCAATATCAGCACGTTGACTTACCAGCAGTGTCTGGCATTTGACTGTGCATTGCTGTGAGCTGGTGCAACACAGTGCTAATGCCCTAAGTGGACTGAGTATTGCCCTTTTGTATGTATAGCTACTCTCAGAGCATCCTCTTCCCTGTGGGACTTATGTCAGCTTGCTTTATAGAGCATCTCATAGAGCTTACTTGTAATTACAAGTCAAAGGTTTTATCAAAATAATATTTTCATACTGAATAACTCTGTAATTCAGATTTAACAGTTTTTATTTGCTTGCTTGTAAGAAGGGATGGGAATGTGTCTTAGTGCTCTTTTCAGCTTACAGAATACTTACAAACAAAAGGCCATTAAGAAGTGACTAATTAGAGAAGCAGTACATATAGAACAGTTCCAGACTTAGGAGGCTGGGGAAGCCAGTACAGGAGACACAGTGAATAATACAGTCTGAAGAGCTGTCAGCATTTCAGTCTTGCTAAGCAGTGGTGGTGGCTGAGCATGTATGGTCATTCTCTGAAAAATGGCTTTTATATTGATGTTAACCCTTTTTAAGAAGTTGGATTAAATCTCCAATTTCAAAGTCCTGCTTTAGAAACCAGCACCTGTAAGCCAAAGTCCTCAGCTTTTTGCAGGTATTGTTTGTCTCTTTACCAACACGTGCTTTGAGGGGAAAGAAAAAAGCCTTTTCTTCAGAGGTTGGTTAGCCTTAAAGTGGGAACTGCAGAGTGTGGCTAAGCTGTGTTCCTCCACGCTGAGACTAACTGGGAAATTCTGCTCTTTTGTTGACTGCAGCTCTCCAGCAATGACACGAGTCGCGCTGAAGATTGTGACCCCTGTCATCATTACTGTCTTTGTCCTGGCACTGTACTTGCATGCGCAGCAAGTGGAATCCACTGCAAGGCTTGATTTCCTCTGGAAGCTCCAGGTTAGTGGGTGTTTGCTGTATTGGAGGAATACACATAGTCATTTGTGTTAATATAAAACTACTGAGCTATTCACTGTCGAGTGTTATAAAGTGCCTTTGAATTTAATCTGCATCTGGCATATAACTGGGCATGCTAGTAATGCTCTGCTCTTCTTTGGTACTTTGCATACTCAGTGCTTCTCAGCCTGGTTATTTACTTTAACCCCTTGTTTCCTTGTAAATGCACTTTGAATAGTCTCCGCAGTAAAGGGTTATAAATCTGAAGATCGAGGTTAATGAATTTGGGCAAGTGAGCCTGTCACTGTTGCAGGAACCTGTAATATAACATGATTTGTAAATGTAAGAAGCTCATACTCACTGATGAATTGTTTCCCAGAGTTCACTGAGCTTTAGTTTGCTGTGTTCAAGGGTGTGAAAGATTCACATTTGCATTTTCATTCATTTTCTTGTTAAGCAGGGGGAACTGGCTTGATATCCAGCCTTCATTACTTCATAGCAGCAGTACTGGATAACCAACACACTACGGATAATGCCACACTGTACTCCTGTCTCTGGGTTCAGTGTTAATGTTTTCACTACTTATGCCCATGTGTGATGTTGGGCCATCATATGTGATTCTCAAGCAAGCAGGACAGGTCTCAGCTGGCCGAAGCATTTCTTTCCTCAGGCAGAGCCAAGTGTTTTCCTTGTTCTGTCCAGACATATCACCTTCTAAAGGGTGCTTCCTTGTCATTTCCAGTTTCCAATGTCCTGTTTCAGAAACCAGCATCCACAAGCAAAGTCCTAAGTGCTTTACAAGTATTGCTTGTGCCTTTACCAACACGTACTTAAGGGATGTGGGGAGGTTATACTTTCTCCCCTCACAAAGTGAGGGCTGGAGAGTATGGCTGAGCTGTGTTTAGACCTATCTCATAGAATGAATGCTTTGGGTTGGAAGGGACCTTGAGAGATCATCTAGCCCAACCAAGGCCCACAAAGTCTTTCCTTTTTTTTGGCTCCAGCTCTCCAGCAATGACAAAAGTCATTGGAAAAAAAAAGATTTGAAGAAGACCCATTTCAAAAGGCTGTACATTGTGCCTGGTGCCTCTGCTGAAGCGGAGGGTGCTGTACGCAGGACAGCTCTTCAGGGCTCCCATAAGCCAAACCGCTCTGCGTGACCCCTGTCTCAGCTGCACCTTCCCCTAGTCCTTGCCTGACCCTGTTTTTTTCCTTTGCTCAGAAATACTAAAAATGGCAAAAAGTAAAACGAGGGGGGGAAATACTGGTGCCATCAGGTAATGGGGGAGAGAGAAGTCATCAGTACACACACCTCTGTACCTTTACGTACAAACCAGAAGCAATGAATTGAGATAATGCTGGTACTGTGCAAGTCTGCAAAGAGAAATAAAATCTGTTTCTGAAGTCTGATTAATCTAGTGAACTCTAAATGCTTGTTTTATTTTAGTCACCTAGGCCTAGGTACATCCTAGGTGTCCTAGGTACAGCCTAGGTACGTCCTTCCTCTGGTTCCATCTGAACAGTAAACCCAAATCCACACCCATTAGTGCAGAAACAAGATAACCCCTCCTCCTCATGCTTCCCTTTGCCTGGGCATACCCCCACTACCACAGGAGACATGGGCTTTACAGGCGGGGGGAAAATAAAGTCCTCCCCAGAGTGTCGGACTGGCCTGTTTCATGGGCTCCATGGTAACTGTACTTCACAACCATCATTGCACCTCGGCAGACCTTGTGGAAAAGGAGGGTCCTTTTATTGAGCTACATGAGTATTTGGAGGGTGCGGGGAGAAGATTATAATTCAGTGCCACTCATGCAGTCAGACTTTAGCAATGATGAGCTGTCTTTGTTCTCCTGAAACCTGTTGCGCTTGACTGGGAAAGCCAAATGTGTTTTCGTGGATGGTAGTGGAGTTCCCCAGAAGGAACAAACCTTGTACAGGTTACCCAATTCAGGGCCCAGAAATATAACAACATTGGATTTTGGCATTATTCTGTGCCTGCTTTTACATACACATGTGCACACAAAGAGACAGACCATCTTCCACTGCAAAACATAAGTTTCTGCATCTCTCTGGTTCTGCCCTCCTTTGCAGTTTCCCCTTTTCTTCTGTTTCTGTCCTCCTTGCAAGTTCATTTTCAGGTTTTTTTTTTCCCTCCCCAGAGCAGTTACAAAAGAGTAAGCACATCACTGTTTCTCCCTCCTAAACTAGGCCACAGAAGAGAAAGAAGAAATGGAGGAGCTGCAGGCCTATAATAGACGCCTCCTCCACAACATTTTGCCGAAGGACGTGGCAGCCCATTTCTTGGCTCAGGAGCGGCGAAATGATGAACTGTACTACCAGTCCTGTGAGTGCGTGGCTGTCATGTTCGCCTCCATAAGCAACTTCTCAGAGTTTTACGTGGAGCTGGAGGCCAACAACGAAGGGGTGGAGTGTCTGAGACTGCTCAACGAGATCATTGCCGATTTTGATGAAGTAAGTCGCAGAAAATCTGGGTGGACAGAGTGAACTGAATCAATTAGTTTAGTGGGGCTTTGCTGAGCTCCTGAAGGAAGGTGGCTTATTAAATCCTTGTGCCATAGTTCATTTCTTCTCACTCTAGAAGTCTTTTAATTCTTTTTTTTTTGTTTCACATGAAAATCCCTCTGTTCCCTTGTCAGTCCTCCAAATATCTAATCCCCTTTCCTCCTATACTTTGAGTAGTGGAGGCTCTGTCCAGTACTTTGTAGTGCTTGTACCAAGGGAAGACACATGGCAAGGACATTACCAGCATGTCAAGGATTTGTCAAGGTTTATTCACTTCTTTTGCTCTTGTGAAACAGATAATAAGCGAAGACCAATTTCGGCAGCTGGAGAAGATCAAGACCATCGGCAGTACATACATGGCTGCATCAGGCCTCAATGATTCCACTTACGACAAGGAAGGGAAGACACATATCAAAGCTCTGGCTGATTTTGCCATGAGGTTAATGGACCAAATGAAATACATTAATGAACACTCATTCAACAACTTCCAGATGAAGATAGGTAATGTCACTGTGTTTACAGGATTAAGCATAGGTAGTGGTCATTCTGAGCTGGGGATTTTATGGAGAGTAAAAACCATAGATGTTACCTTAGCTGTACAGTGATGTTAATTGTCTCGTTGCCTGGTGACCACTTTGCCCTCTCTGAACCATCAGAGGAGTTTTATTAGGGTTGCAGCATTATTACTGAAGCTCCCTGGAGCTTAGGAGCAGTTGGGCAACCAACCTTGGTGCAGAGAGGCTCTTACCGCAGCATGGTCTCACATGGTGGTTGAGCTTGGGCTCATTTTGCCTGTGATGTGCTCCTTGCCGACACCCCCTGTGGTCCCCAGTTCTGCCATTCTTGGACATTAAATTGCCTTTCAAGTCAGGGAATAAAAAGAGACAGGAAAGGAGAAGGCGAAGAAATGTGAGGATGTCAAGTGTGGTATTTGTTCTGGAAGGCCGGCGGGCTGCTGCCTCGCAGGCGCTCAGCATTGCAGCGGCTGCGTGCTGACTTCAAGTGAACAGCCGGCTGGCAAATAAACCTTATCCTGTTATCTGGTACTGGAAAGTAGTGCTGAATTGAGCAGATCCAGCCCATGCTGCCAATCAGACAGGCATAATGGATCAAAGAACCCTTTTCTTTAAAAGTTTCCTTCCCTACAGTTTGGCCCACAGCTAGAACCAGTGAACCTCAGGATGTTTTTTGTTGTCTGAAAAATAACTTGCCTCAAGCATCATGTGGTTCACACGTGATGGATCTAAGTATTGTGGGATTTCTCCTCTCCTTCCAGGCCTCAATATTGGTCCTGTTGTAGCTGGGGTGATCGGAGCACGCAAACCCCAGTATGACATATGGGGCAACACGGTGAATGTAGCCAGCCGAATGGACAGTACGGGTGTGCCTGACAGGATTCAGGTAAGGAATTCACTGGAAAACTTACATTGCCAGCCCCGTGTCACCTATGGGTTTTGAAACTTAATCAGAATTAGAATTTTGGTTTAATTTTGTTCCTTTATGCCATACATTTACTTACACAGTACTGAAAGAAAAGCCAACTGGGTTGTGCTAGTGTTTTGCCTTTTAATCTTGACCAACTTTGCAACCTTTGGTCAGAAACTTGCAGTTCAGTTCTGGGTGGAAGTGTTGAGCTAAATTTCCTTCCCTGAGTGCCTCATTGGCACTAGGAGCACAGTCCTGCTGTGACGCTGCCAGCTCTGCTGTTCGGCTACGTGCAACTGTAGGCTGGTTTATTTTCCAAGGGCTTGATTCAGATACGTATTTGTGTAATTCTGTTCACAATGCCATATGTGTTGTGAGGCTAGCAAGGATCCAGGCGTCAGCAGGATGGGGATATGTAACTAGAGAAAGAGGATGGTTTAAGGGGTTGATGGGAACTGTCTTGTAATCAAACATCTCCTTGGCCTTCAGACAGTGACCTTCCCCGTGATTCAGTTCCACTGGCTGCCTTTCGCTGAGCCAATGTCCACAGTAACAGCTTGTCATTCCTTGGGAAAGTACTGAAGGGATATAAAAATAGTTAGAGTAACTGATGTAAAACCCAAGAGGTTTTCTTCATTTTTCAATGCTGTTTCTTTCCAATGAAGGTGTCAGTTAACTGGATCAATATTTATCCAACACCCTTTAAACTTTCCTACAAGATGGTCCGTGAACAATTTTCATTCTAGTTAAGCAAGTCAGCACAGCAATGTTACAGCAATAGGAAGCCAGAAATGGAAATATTTAAAGCCGCCTGAAAAAGGGTGAGAAAATACATTGTAATAAATAAATATCTCAGGAAAGCTGGTCTTTAAACTTCCGTTATTCTGCAGCACAAGTGATTATTTTTGAATGGCATCTGCAGAGAGAATTTGGATGCTGGCTAGATTATTCTAGTTGTTCAGTCTTTCTCATTGCCCGCTACCTTCTCCTTCATAAAAACAAACCCCTGAGTGACTCCTGCTAAACTGTACATTCACTGTGTAATTTCTATGTAATTTTTGAGAACTTTTAACATATGTTTAACCTGTTTTCCTGCTACCACTCCAGTGATATAATGAATGCATCTGAGTAGACTGAACTGCCAGGTGTGTTTTTAAAAACGTGGCTCATTTGTTTCTTTCTATCCTGTGACCTCCTTGAAAAATGTGGTTTCCCCCAGTTGTGTACCTTCTGTAGCTTCTCAGTTTCTAAAGGTTGTGTTTGTTCTGCAACTTGTGGCAACCTTTCAGTTAGTGATCAATATGCAAAAGTTGACTGACTTAGAAACAAAATAGTTGAACCTACTTCAATTTTGTCTGTGGATTACTCCAAAAGCAAATGAAAAGACTTGTGTGGAAGGCATGACGAGCATCTGCTTCCTCTTGTTTATTCTGCAGGTAACCACAGACATGTACCAGGTTTTAGCAGCCAACAACTATCAGCTGGAATATCGAGGGGTCATTAAGGTCAAAGGCAAAGGAGAAATGACCACCTACTTTCTAAATGAAGGGCCTCCAATTAGTTAGCACCGATTGCAGTGTCACTCAAAGATGGAATTTGCATTACACGAGGTTGTGAATCGGAGAAGAATCACTTTTTTTTGGCAGCGAAGCTGAAAACGCAACGCAGTTGAAATTTCACACCGTGACTCTAGAGCTGATATCAGCAAGCTCTTTGGCCACCCATCACGAGAGGCAATCGAAAGAAACCACCTTGGAGTTGTTCCTGGCTGAGTGCTAAGTCGACCAAAGATGTGTACTACAGAGTTCACAGATAAGACATGAATTTGGAATTTTTAAAAAAGGCTGCTACCACAGGATGATATAAGAAGCTATTTAAGTATTTATTGACGCAACACAACATTTACTTGGTTGAAGGAATGTATGATTCACTACAAAGCATTATTTTGGAATGGATTTGCACTCCCATAATGTTTCCATCCCATACTGCCAGCTATTTGAAGTGTACCACTGTGCTTTTATTAGCTGTTTTGAATGGGCTTTCAAAATTGACACCCACTGTTGCAGCACACAAAAAGGCCTTTTAGAAGGGCATCGGTAACGTTTTAGTGTGAAAAGACATTAGAGCCCTGGCCCCCTCTTTTCCCTTCTTCTACGTGGCTAAATGACTGCTCTTCTGAGTGGGGCTGGCACATCTGATGAAGGGGAAGATCAAGATAAAGAAAGATGGCTCTACAACCGTATTTATTAAAAAGTCTTCTGTGCTCTTCTTTGGTAAATATCAGTTTACATGGGAAAGACTAGATGTAAACAAGAGACACTTTGTGGGGGGGAACTCCCCTGAAATTTGTTGTGGTTTTTTTTGTATTTTTTATTTTGTAATATTGAAAACATGGAGATCTAACAGATATACCAAATTCTATATTTTGTAAATTATATATAAATTAGAAGGCAGGCTGGCCACACCAAGGTGTGGTGGGAGGTGTATATAACCTGTAGACTTTTGTGTCATTTTTTTGTGCATAATACTCTGAATACAGACTTGGCAGTTTTCAGATTATCACTATACAATCAACCAACAACAAACAGGTGAGTTTCCAGGCTGAATCAGATGCATTTTAAAATGAAAATCCAGAAAAATCTACAACCCCAAAGAAGAGGAAAAAACAAAAACGCAGTAGTCACACAGTTGTTCCATGCAGCATTCAAGCGGCGGGTGGCATCTTAACAAATGGAAACAGGACCTTTGAGTTTTAGCTACTGAGACGGTATCAGTCAAACATGTCAAAAAGAGCTCTAAGCAAATCTTCTAACTAACTCTAACAGGAGCTCTTATAAGAAGAGAAAAAAAAAAGCTCATTTGAACTTTTCTTTTAAAAAATCGTTTTTCATAGATGGTCTTAATAGAAACCTGTTGATATGAGAGCTGTCTGATATTGTAACTGCCATTTGACGTTACAAGGAACTATGTACTGCAGCATCGAGTTGACTTTCCTGTAGTAGGCACTTATCTAAACTGAGTCACAGATTTTCAATTTTCAGGAATTAGGTGATCTTCAAAAAAGGTTATGATGGCAAGTGTGTGTATGAGGTGGTCGACCTTAAAATACAGTGCCATTGATACTGTGTTGGACATCTTTATCACTAGTGGGGGGGTTTATGAATAGTTCACTGTTATCATTTATGTACCTTTTTTAACTATTAAAGAAAATTCCCTTGATATTTTATTAAAAAAAAAGAAAAGAGTTTTAAAAAAAAAGCTATATTTTTTATATTCTATGAGGGGAGAGTTTTGATATTGAATTTGGCTAGCACTAAAAATTACTCCAATCTTTTGACATTTAATAAAATTCTTTTCCACTCTTCTCAGGGCAGAACTATTGTAGTACTAACAGCTTAATGATTGCACTATGGTGGTGGTGATTTATTTTTTCCTACTTGACAACAAGAATAAGTGAAAATCCATGGGCCTGTCTTAATTAATTTGCCATATTGCTAAGCATAACCCGAGCATTAAGCCATTTAAACATAAGCTTAAATGGCATCGCCCCTTTCCTTCTCCCTTCCACTAGGAAACATCTCTGAAAAGTATAGTATATTGACTTCTGTAAAACTGCCAAGTCTGCCCTTGTACTATACTTTTGCTCCTTTACATCCTTCCTGGTTTGCAAAATACTTCAGTTGCATCACGCTGTTACGCCTTTCTCCCCTACCCCCCACCTTCCATCCCTTTTACCCCCTCACGGAGTTTCATGACCTTCATGCCATACACTCGGTTTTTAGGTTTGCTTTCTGCTTTACAAAAGTCTGCAGTCTTCTTACCTTTTGATTCATCTTATGAAGTTGTGTTGTCAATGAAATTTCAAGTCCCCGGTATCTCTAGCTGTGATTGTTGACAGTGTGTCATGATCATTTCAAGGGGTATTCACACGCTCTTTACTCTGGATCTTGCGAAAATGGATACAGTTATGATTTCCCATGGAAATTGAAATCTATTTAAGTAATTTAACTATATTAAACACTGTTTCACTGGTAAAGTGGCTCTGTTTTATTTTAGCTGCATCTGGCTAGCAAAGAGACAGCCATAAGTTGCGTAGCACATACTGAATCGGCAAACAGAAACGTCCAGTTTTGACTAGCGGTGGCCGGCCGGCCCTTTGGGCCACGCTGGCACTACGCCGTGCCCAGTTACAGAGCCTCGAGGGCTCGGCTGCACGGCCCAGGGACCCTCTAGGGCACCCATTTGCCTTGAAATGTTACTCTCAGGAGAGCTGACAAAGCCTTGCTGTGGCAGTGGTTAAATATATTGGTATAATGGAATAATTTTTAAAAAATAATATTTTCTTCTGTCGTTATTTAAAAAAAAAAAAATCGTGTGTATTTTAAAAAGTACATCACCTTTGCCAAAGAATTCCCCAGGTACCTCGGTACTCGTCCTCTCAAGGACACCTGGAAGGAGGCAGCAGTGCTTGCCAATGCAACATTTTCAATCTTTACAGGTAAAAGTAAATGCTACGTGTAACTACACCAATTAACAGCAGCCTGAAGTAAAACTGAGCAGCAAAAAGCTGCAGCTTTCAAATGACTTTTTTAGAGGAGACATTACACAGGCAACTAAGAACCAAATGACTTATAATCTGTTATTTGTTGGGGGGATTTTATAAGCATGCTGAGAACACAGCTGCATTAACAAAAAGCCATGAAGTACTTAAAGTATCAATCTTTAAAAAAAAAAAGATGGCAAAGAACTAGTTAATGCTTCACATCTTCTCCTACGTAATCATTCAAACAGCAATTTAGGACATTCCCTGATGCAAGCAATTTTTGAAACTATCTGGAGAAGGGTATGCCCCAGGGAAGCCAGGAGCCTCTGGTGCCGTGCCCTCTCATTTGACTCGCTGTACACGCCGAGTGGCTGAACTATTTTCCCCAAATGCATCTTCTTCCCCTCCAGAAAGCATTTTGATGAATTGTAAGGTATTTAGCCACTTCTGCCCAACACAAAGCTGGCTACGTCAAGTATCTGCCTGCACATACTAAAATGATACATTTGGGATGCACCAAATTTCTTGTGTGTGTCCTGCACTGCCAGCATCCCTGGCCTCGCTGTCCGTGCGTTACCCGGCACGCATGGACACCAATGTCTGGCCAAAAGCTATGCCCAGAGGCAAATATTTTCATTTTGTTAACTTTCCTGACTGCTCCTCAAGGCACCATCACTTTCTGAAGTTTGGGGGCTGGCAGGGAGAGATACCTTGGGATGCAGCCTGAAAAAGAGCTCAAAAACTCAATTTCCATTCTCTTGACCCTGTCTATCCCAGGCTTTTCCATTGAAGCAGCCAGAAGCGCCTGGGCGGGGGGGGGCAGGACTGGGAACACTGAATTTCAGGCAGGATGGGGGAATGGCAGCAGCAACATTTTCCTGCCATCTGGCAGCCGGGTAGCTTGCCGTAAAAAGCAGGGTAATATTTTTTTATTTCTGTCCCCGAGCACCTCACTGTCCCCGCCCGTCCTGCTCT